AAATCAGGCTGCTGCAGGCTCACCTTCTTTGACTGCTGTACCTCCTCTGTGGACTTAGACCTATTTTTCATGTGTTTCTGAGGAGAGGTGTTGGTGGGACACTAGGCAGAGGGAAGGGTCGCATTAGACGGCGAATGATTAAAATTTAGTGTATCAGAGTATCGGGTTCTCAAGTACCTCGTTTGTCTTCTGCTCCATGGCTGACTTGAAAGTTTTTCCTCAGAAGTTCGGGGCTGTGGGGACTTAAGATGGATCACTCTGTTTTTCTTGCAAACTTTGGCTGTGCAACTGAAAGGTTAGGAGAAAAAATGAGAGAAACTTTCAAAAAACGTGACTGCACGCAACAACAACAGACAAGGGAAAGTCATTAATATATCCAGTAAAATGCAAACAATTAATCTTGCCCTAAGCGGTCTGATCCACTGCAAGAGATCCAAGTGAAGCTAGAGCAAGAGAGTGTGCAGTTATGAGCTCTTCTCACTAGAGGGTGTCTCTGACTCAGCGATACACTGCTGCAGATTTCAGTGTCCTGCTGGTTATTTTTAGCTTTGGGATTCACTAGAAGTAAAAATTATGACTGATTACAGGTTAGCTTGGCTCAATTTTCTCTACTGGCAAAAACAGGCATACTTAAAAAAAAAAAAAAAAGGAGCGGTGGGGGGGAAGAAGGGGTGGTAATTCTTCTGACCTTGTTTGATTTTTTTTTTTTTAATTGTATTTCAGTATATAAACATTGCCTTTTGGAGCCCTAACAGTTGACATAACAGAAGCTCAACTTTAGCTGAGAGGACGAAAGCAAAACAGCAAGTAACAGCAAATAAAATCGTAAAAAGAAGAAATGCTCTGAACAAGGAAACACACACAGTTACTCAAACAGTGATTCCTCGAGAACTGAAAGGCCACAGAGAACACTAGGCAACAGTCACAGCCAGGGCCACAGCTGGAGTCATGAGCCCTGTTGGCTGAGGGACAAAACACCCCTGGGTCTGGTTCAGTGAACAAGAGACTTTTTTTCCCTTTCTTTTTTTAACAGTCCATCAGCATCCCTTTTGATGTCTGCTTCTCTCTGTCAGGCACACCGATGAGATTCTAATGGTATGAAGGGGTGGTTCAGTGCTGCTGTTCAAAAAGAAGAAATAAAATATGTCATAGGTATTTCAAACAAAAGACTTGAGCTTAAAAGCTCTTGGTTGAACATGGGAACCAACATTGTTGAAAGCAGAAACTTTAAAATTAGGAAGTTATTGTAGTTTTCTGATGCTTTTGTCTACATCCTGCAGAGAATA